TGATTTTGCTCTGTTGATCCAGCATCTTCCGTAAGTGGTGAAAAGTCTTCATACAAAAATAAAAATAAAAAACAAGTTAAAATTTCACTCCAAAGTTATAAGTTACTAAGTTTAGGAATATTAGGGAATATATGATCAGTCATCCCCCACGTTGAGAAGAAAGCTCCTTTGGAGTTAGATTAGAAATCACTACAGTTTTCAGCTAAAGCAGTAAGTAGAGAGCAGGGGGATTAACAAATGAATAGCATATGAACCCACAAGCTAATTTTTTCTTCATAGACAGAATTTAGACTTCTGTCTGAAAGACAACTTACCTTTCATGGTATATTTTTACCCTGGGGATGCTGAAGCATAGGGCAACAAAGGTGATCCCAGGACACCAGATACAGAGGTGGAAGAAGAACTTACTCTTCCTGTGTCATCAGAACATAGGAGACAGTGGGGTGACCTAACACAAGTGATAAAATTAGTAAGGGGACTGACTCTCTTTTTCTGTTACACAGTAGTTTAAAAACTAAAATAGATCTATGGCTTAAAGCTATTCTTCCACTGTCACCATTAAAAATGTTGATTTAGAAGAACAGCTAAGGTTATAAGTAGGCCCAATAACTTTAACAGGACTGCTCAAAGCGCATATATACTCTCCTGGGTAGTAGCTGTACAAGTCTGGCCTCTCATAGGCCACACAAGGGAGGCCTTTAGAAAGGCCTTTCTAAAGTCTACAGCTTATTTTCCCAACTTGTGCCAGGTTTTGGTCAGCCCCAGCTTGAGGTAGATGATCATCAAAATCTCTCACCAGTTGTGAGACTCACCTCAGGAAACAAAATGTAGTTCCAAGGATAATGTCTTTTAATGCATTTTAAGAATTTCTGATAACATTACCTGCTGCTGCTGCTGCTGTATCAGAATCCTTTTTCAAACAGACTATTTGAACAACCTGCCAACTCCATGCCTCCCACAGAGGTCTCCCAGAACTATTAAAGTTGGTTTAGTTCTTTTTAGCAAGTTAAACTTAGTAAGGTTTATTACTAATTTAGCTTAAAATGACAAGAGATATCACAGAAAAACTAGATAATTCCTGGACGTACACATCCACCTTCACATTAAGTCCTCCCTGCCTAACTTCTCTTTCCAGTGTAGAGAAGGCACCCAGAAGGGAAGTAGAGAGGACTGCTCTCTGTTCATTGACAAGGGACCTAAACTTTCTCTCATTCATTCATTTCATTCATTCTTTAACTCCACTGAAGTCAACGGCATTATATGAGTGACCAAATGCATGATCCTGCTTCTGCAAATTACTGTGTTGTCTCTAAGGCAAGTCTAAAGGCATAGAGGAGACACACAGCTATTTTGAAACCGAAAAGACTGAACCTGGGTATGTCTAACTGTGGTAAATTCATTCATGTTCATCTCACATACACAGGGGATTACAGACTCCCATTAGAGCCTTGGAAGTCTTTGCAGAGTGAGGGGAGATCCTTCAGCATCCCAGCACCTGAAGATGGAGGCTTCAAGTTTGAGATATCAAGTCTGCATAAGCAGTTATTCTGCAGCCAAAAAGAATCTCTAAAGATAAAAAATATAAACCAAAATAAAAAGTAGTTATAATATTGTTAGTTTTCAGTGGCACTAGGGGGGCACAAGTGCCACTGTACAGGTTGGGATTAACCAAACTTCCACGGAAATTTTTTGTCTGCAAATCAGACATTTGAAAATTATTTGGTTTGTTTTGTCTATCATAGTCCAAACATTTCAAATTATGGGAAATTATTTTTTTAAAATTAAACCAGAATTTTATATCACTATATGGCAGGCTTAAAGCAAAACTTTGCTGATACATAGCACCTGCTGGACTGACTTAAAACATTCATTTTGTGTAAATCAGCAACTACCTATCTGGTGGTATCAACTATCACTAATTAAACAAATGCAAATCATGCTATAATCTACAGTGCAAAGCAAAGTCTTTGTGTCTTAATACGCAGTTATTTTTTGCCATGATCCTTGTTTAATAAAGATATTATTTTCTAATACTTTCCCTCTCAAACTTCAATATAAGTTTCAAATGTGATGTTCTTTTAATTTTTCACATCAAAATAAAGTATAACCTTCATTTTCCAATTTATATTTCTAAGAGAGCTTCCCATTTCAGCAGCTGTCTCGCTCCAGATCTCACAGCTCCCCCCTGCCCATCAATCTCTGATTTGGGGCCCTCTCACATATCTTCCAAAATATCCAACTCTTCCACGTCTACCAACACTCCTTTATCAATTATACCCTTAGTATCTTCAAAGAAACCTTGCAGGTCACTTAAGTATGGCCTCCCTACCTGAGTTCATGAAAACTATCTTTAAACAAGCTTTCTGTTTTTTAACTTATACTTTCAGGTGGCTTCAAAGGTCCTGTACCACCCTCCTGCAGATGTCCAGACAAGAAGGGAAACCGAAGTGACAGAAGCTGCAAGATACCCCTTTCATCCCCACAGTCACCTTAGATCTCAACACTGAAATTCCTAAAGAGGAATCACTGATGTGGTGTAAGGTAACATGGAAGGTAGGAGCTAATGAGCTAGGAAAGAGCCTCTACAGTTGTGGATGTGACCAGAAGAACCCACTGGCCTAGGATTCACAGGTCCTTAGACCTTGTTCCTGGGTCACCTACCTTCCTCAGCCTCCATAACTCTCAGAAACTACCCTATGGTGCTTTCCCATTGATCCCCAGATCTATTATTATCAAAAGTAGTGACTTACTATGATTACAAAATAATTGTCACCTATATTATTTCTGTCAATGAGTCATCATCCTCTTTTCCTTTCTTAATGCCAGGCTTGGGTTCACAGACCTGCACTCTTCTCCCTTTGTGCCCTCTATCTGGCAATTCTTAAGGATTTTAGATAGCATTTCTGTGCTTGCGATTCTCAGATTTCTCCCTCTGTCATCAACCTTTCTCCCTCTATTCAGTCCCAATGCTCAAGTGGCTGTCTGGCATCTCTTCCTGGAGATTTTGTCATCAGTTTATGCTAGCTGAAGTGCCGCGTTGCCTTGGTTTAGCCTCACTTTCCCTTTTCCCTTTCACTGCTGATAGCAGTAACGTACTCCCCATTTCCACTATCTTCCCTCCCTTTTCCCACAAGTCATGCACAAATAGCACTCAGCTCCTGGGCCTTCCTTCTACCCCACCAGCTTCAGGGCCAATCTGTTATCATTTTCACAGGGAAATCTCCTGTTTAGGCCTCTTTGGTATACCCTACCACAACTATTGCAGAGTTCTCTTCTTGGCATCCCAAACATATGCAATGCTCCTTTGCAACCCAAGGAAGCTGTGGATGGCCAAACACTTCCTCTTACAAACCTGGCCACACCACTCGCTCCTTGGCAGCCCTCCGTTGTTCTTCACCTGCTGTTCCAGCACATCCCTGTCTCCGGCCTCCTTCAAGACTCAACCTAACTGCATTCCCCCAGTCTACCCTCTTCTGTTGAGCATCGTGTTGTCCCTACCACTGCTGCACTCCAGCAGCATTCCTCAACCATATACCCTTCAATCATATGTTTCTCCACCTCAACCACTCATCATGACATGACCTCCCATGATTCAGCTCAGCTTTTCAGGCTCTCTCATAAGCCCACTCCTCCTGGGATACTGGCAGCAAATAAAACAAAACATGGAACACGTCTACATACCTCTGTTACTTCCCTTCTACACAACCATCTCCCTGCTGTTCTTCAAGCTCCTCACAGGGCAGGAACTGTTCTTTTTGCAGATGTGAAACTTCCCTTGTCATTCTTTGCCAATTAATGAGAATAAAAAAGAATAAACAACATGAGCCCAAATCGCAGCCTCCTACCAACCCAGGCTTTAGGGAAGAAACAAGTGAACAGTAGAAAAATAGACGAAAAGATAGCGAAACGGAGCAGGTGTGTGGGACCATGTAAAGGTGCAATGCAGCAGGAAATGCAAACCCCGGGCATCCCTGCGCGTGGTGTGAGAAATTTATGGCTGGGGAGATCTTGAATTTTGCCTCTTTGCCCTTCAGTGGGTCCAGCCCACGACGGACGAGAACAGCCATGACTTACTTCAACAGCACTAGAGAGGGTCACTCAGAGCCGAGTGCGGGGCAGCACCACCAGAAAACCCAACGCTTCCCGAAGGGGATCCTCGGTGCGACCATCGCGCCGCTGAGACCGGTTATTCGGGACGTAAGCGGGGGGTGAGGGCGCTTTTCCACCAGCCGAGGGTACCGGAGCAGGGAGCCCTGTCCCGCACGGGTAA